GAAAGAAAGAAAGAAAGAAAGAAAGAAAGAAAGAAAGAAAGAAAGAAGGTAGTCCTCAATGTATGATCAGAACTGAACCTAAAATGAACGTTAAGAAATTTGTTAAGTGAATTTTGCCCCATTTTACAACTTCAATGTAGTTCTTAAATTAGAATACTACTATTACTACTACTACTACTACTACTACTACTACTACTACTACTAATAATAATAATAATAATAATAATAATAATAATAATAATAATAATAATAATTTATTGTCATTGTATGAATATACACAGTATACACAAATTAGTAAATTAGTAACACAGTTGTTAAATGATTCTGGTTTCTTTCTTTCACATGACCCCAGGACACTACTACCATCATAAATGTGAGTTAGTTGTCAAGCAAAATCACATGACCATGGGGTAAATCACATGACCATGGGGTAAATCACATGACCATGGGGTAAACCTCATGACCATGGGGGTGCTGCAATAGTTATAGGTGTGAAAAATGGTCATGAGTCGCTTTTTTCAGTGCCATTGTAATTTGGAGCAGTCACTAAATAAACTGTTGTAAGTCAAGTGCCAGGGCTGGTAGACAGAAGGTGGGGAATCATCTAGTTGAGGCAGGAAATGCTGCTGGAGTGAAAGATAAACATGAAATGTACAGCAGAGAAGGCAGAATGACAAAGCAGATATACGAGATGATGCAGGCGCTGGAGAACAATACAAGGGAGAGTTAAAGAAGCAGTGAGAAAAACAAACTTTGTCTTAGTTATGGAGAGGCAGGCAGGAGAGGAGATTAGCATTCTTAAAACTGTGGATAAGCTGGTTGCAGGAGGAGAGAATATCAGCAGCTCAGGGTTTTGAGTAAAATTCAAACCATTTAGTTAAAAACTCTTTTTGCATACTTGTACTTTTTGTAAGTGTGCGTACTTACTAATATGCTTGGTCCCTCTGCACATACATAAACACCTACATTAGAAATATGATAATATGCTTTGCATTAAGCTAAGCTTGTATCTAAAACTGCCTTGCATTCACTTGATAGCTCTGTGCTGCACTCCAATTTCACGCTCACCCTCCCACACCACAATTGATGCTCCTGCATATGTTCTCTGAAGAACCCCTTCCAACTCCTCTTCATGCTTGCACAGCCCTAAGTTAAACATCTGGTTGGGCTCCTTGATGCATGTCAACCCTCCTACCTTTTCTTCCAGCCCGACCACAAAACGGTGGCTTTGCCTGGTCAACAAGGAAATAAAATTTGCCTAACAATTCGGCTTAGCAAACAGTAGCCTCCGAAAGCCAGTTTATATTTTCTTTTCTTTTCTCAAATGATCAGCCTCTTGAAACATAAGTGAAAAGAAGGGCTAGGGGTGACATGATAGAAGTTTTCCGATATTTGAGGGGCTGCCCCAAAGAAGAGGGAGTCAAGCTATTCTCCAAAGCACCTGAGGGCAGGACAAGAAGCAATGGAGGGAAACTAATCAAGGAGAAGAAGCAACCTAGAACTAAGGAGACATTTCCTGACAGTTAGAACAATTAATCAGTGGAACAACTTGCCTCCAGAAGTTGTGAATGCTCCAACGTTGGAAGTTTTTAAGAAGAGATTGCATAACCATTTGTCTGAAATGGTGTAGGGTTTCCTGCCTAAGCAGGGGGTTGGACTAGAAGACCTCCAAGGTCCCTTCCAACTCTGTTATTCTATTCTATTCTATTTTAATTTAAAAACTTCCAGTGCTGGAGCATTAATTGCTCTGACTGTCAGGAAATTTCTCCTTAGTCCTTCTCTCCTTGATCAGTTTCCACCCACTGCTTCTTGTCTTGCCCCCGGGGGCTTTGGAGAAACCCACAGTCATATGGCCATGGTTTAGACCATTTTTGCTGAAAACCAGTGTTTACTTCCAGTTTCCAGAAAAAACAGGCTGTAACACACAACAGATTTGATGTTGATTAAAAACCACGGTGTTCACTTAACGACCACAACAAAAAAGTTCCTAAAAACCCGTCTGGTTTACGGCCATAATGGACAGCCTCCATTACAATCCTAGCTGAGAACTTCCTATATTTCCATGCAATGACTTACGTTTTAGACGTTCATCGGTTTAACTCAACCTGTTGTTTTTAACTTACAGGACAGAAACTTTTGGATACGTTGGCTGAAACCTGGGATTTCTTTTTCAGTGATGTCCTGCCCATGCTGCAGGCCATATTCTACCCCGTGCAGGTAAAATGCAATTGTGGTGCTTTAGAATCCGGATAAACCAGTAAGTGGAATTCTGGTGATTGATGAAGAGAGCTGCAGGTCATTTGCTTGGCAGTCTAGCAAAGCACCAAGCAGGAAAAACATTTAAAATAAAAATGTTCTTCTTGGCTGTACTATTCGGGTTATTTCCCTTGGCTCCCCCTTAAGTTGAACGGCATTTCAGATAAGAAGGCAAAAAAAGCCTTATTCTCGATCTGATTTATTTTTTTTTTAAGAAAAAGAGGCCAGTCTTTTTCCAGGATCCCACAGGTGCCTTTTGCAGCTCCAGTGTAATTCCAGAAAAACCTGTTTTGGTGGTTTCGCCCAATTGGAAGATCTTTGCTCCTTGGGGAAATAGATCCATCTCACAGCAGAGAAATAGAAGCAAACTTGGATTTTAAAAACTGGGGAGAAAAAAAAGAAAAGCTAAACAACTCTTTTAAAAATGTTAAATAGGTAGCTTCACCTCAGTCTGTGGTAAAATAATTCAAATGCAGCATAGGGCTGCTCAAATCACAGCATTGTAGAAGAACCACACCTAGAGTACTCCATCCAGTTTTGGTCACCACACTATAAAAAAGATGTTGAGACTCTAGAGCCGTGATGGCGAACCTATGGCACCCGTGCCACAGGCGGCACGCAGAGCCATTTGTGCCAGCACATGAGCTGCAGGTAAACTTACCTCACTGGGCATGCTCATGCCTCACAGCTGATTTTCGGCCGGTTTGAGGCCTTTTTCGGCCTCCCAAAGGCTTGAGGAAGGCTTCTACAGGCTTTGCAGGCAGAAAATTAGCCCCGTTTTGTGATGAAACGGGGCTAGTTTTCGGCCTGCAAAGCCTGAGAAGCCTGCAGAAGCCTTCCTCAAGCCTTTGGGAGGCTGAAAAAGGCCTCAAACCGGCCCAAAATTAGCTGTGAGGCACAGTGCAGGTAAGGGGGCGGCAAACATGGGTGGGTGGGGATTACGCACGCATGCGTAGGGGGGGCGTACATTGTCTTCTGGGTGCTGGCACGCGAGTGCGAGCAGGCAAGCACGCACACAATTTTTGGCACAGGAGCCCAAAAAGGTTAGCCACCACTGCTCTAGAAAGAGTGCAGAGAAGAGCAACCAGGATGGTTAGGGGACTGGAGGCTAAAACATACAAAGAACAGTTACAGGAATTGGGCCTGGCTAATCTAGTGAAGAGAAGGACCAGGGGAGACATGATAGCAGTCTTCCCAATATCTCAGGGGCTGCAACAGAGAGGATCTCTGGGCAGATGCTTCCAAAGCATCTGAAGGCCAGACAAGGAATAATGGGTGGAAACTGAAGGAGAGATTCAACCTAGAAATAAGGAGAATTTTTCTGAAAGTGAGAGCAATCAACCAATGGAACAGAAATTGCCTTTGGAAGTTGTGGGAGCTTTATCATTGGAGGCTTTCAGGAAGAGATCGGACTGCCATTTCTCAGAAATGGTGTAGGGTCTCCTGCTTGGGCAGGGGGTTGGACTAGATGACCTACAAGGTCCCTTCCAACTCTATTAATCTCTCTGTAAACTTCCAATTGAAAATGGTCCAGAGGGAGGAAATGCTCCAAAGAGATCCCAAGATAATGCTGAACTCCTCTGATTTAGAAGCAATTCAGTACCTAAGACACAAAGGTAAAGACAATAATCATTAGAGACAGAAGAGTTAAAAACATACTCGGAAAAGGAAATTAAAATTACTAGAGTTCTTAACTAACTTAGAATAAGCTATTCTGTAATGTGTATTCTCGAAGTAAATTCTGATTCACCCCCACTCCCAACCTGAAGCTCTTGTTTTGACTTAAATTTCATAGGACTTTGTACTTCCATAACATTAACCTCCGTTTTCACCTTGCAGTGGAATTAGAACTGCTATTACAAGGTGCAAAGGACAATCTTGAGTTGGGTCTGACTTATTAACTTCATGGACACATTTGTGCATTTTTTTGGCAACAGTATGCGTTGCCTAGTATGTTTTTTTTTTTTTTCAACTTCACAGTCCAGCATTCTCCAGTGCTGGGATTTCTCAGTGGTTTCCCATCTGATCCTAACTCGGAAACATTTTCTGAAAAGTGCTGGTTTAATTTTAATGTGCTATGTATGATGAAGAACATTGTCATGTCCCTGGTGGAGACTGACTCTGAGGGAGAGGAGGAACAGCCGACAGGGAGTGGAAGTGTGGCTCCGGAGGTTGTGGAGGAGGCTGGGGAAGGGCAGAGGCCGGCTGAGCAGTCAGAGGAGGACCCAGGCCCATCCCCTATCCATCCTACGCCATGCAGGGGGGAACGGATAAGGGAGAGACGTGAATGGCATGAGGTATGGGGGAGGAAGGGGCCGTAAGTTGTGGTCGTAAGTTGTGGTCGTAAGTCGAGGACTACCTGTATTGGGATTCAGGACTGGTGAACTCTTTAAAGCCTAATTTTTGCTACATTTTTTTATAGATTTGAACCGTACAGCTACTGTAATAATCAGGGAATAGGCGTTTTGAATTTCAAATCTACAAAATAGTCTACAAATCATGAAAAAACCTTTTGTTTGTTTCCTGCAGGGGAAGGAGCCTCCTGTCCGTCAGCTGGCCCTGTTGCACTTCAGAAATATTATAACTCTCAATATAAAACTGGAAGACGCGTTATCCCGTTCCCGCGCAAGGATTCCTCCTTCAATTGTCCAAATGTTACTCATCCTACAAGTATGGATTTTTCTGGCGCACCCTTACTGAATTGTCAGCTTTGGAAGCCATATTCACTTCCTCACTGCCACATTCTTAAGCCTGGGAAAGTGGGAAGTTCTTGGAGTGTATGTTGTTAGCCATAATAGCATTTTTCTTCTAAGTCAAGGTCGTGTTATTCTGCACCTGGGTGAGGGCATGTCTCAAGTTGGGACGGATGGTGATTGGGGCATGTGATGTGATGATGGGTGCAAGGCAGCAGTGGGATTCAAATATTTTTACCACTGGTTCGGTGGGCGTGGCTTGGTGGGCATGCTTTGTGCGCGTGCGCACACCAAACACACACTTGGCACAGGCGCAGAGGCGTTCTAACTCACCTCCTGCAAGCCTGCACAATCCCGGTCACTTCAGCAGCTGCTGCGCGGCACTCTTCTCTGCCGCGCAAAGCAGCTGCGCTTCAAATTCAGAGCGAGTATGGGAGCCCAGGCGGGCGGGTAGACCCAATAGCAGAGCAGCAGAGAGAACCAGTTTGGTCTCCGCTGCTCATCGCTGCTACCGGCTCTGCAGAACCAGAATACCACCCCTGGTGCAAGGGGTGGATTTGTAGTTTTTACTTATTGCAAGGAAGCCCGAAACTTTCAGATTCAGGATTTCCCAGATGTGCCAGTTTGCTATCCAAATAAGACAGAACTTTTGAGAAGATGTCTGTCTTGGAGTTAATTGTTGGAGTGGAGGTTTTCTGGAACGCTGACAACTGAATTGTAAGTTTAGAGTGGTAGATGGAGCAGGCGGGCTGGAAAACCAAGATGGCCCCCATGGATGCAAAGCTCCACCTCTCTTTTACATGCAGTGTATATGCTGGGTACAGGTAGTTCTTGATTTATGATTGTTCACATAGTGACCATTTGAAGCTGCAACAGATCCCCAAAAAGGTACTTATGATCCAGAGTTGAAGTTATAAACACACACCGCAATCACCTACAGCAGGGGTGTTAAACTGGGTTTCTAAAAGGGCCGGATCAACATTGTAGTCAGACTCATGATCTGTGGTCCTTCCGCCATCTGCCTATTAATGCCTACCCCAAGGAATGGCATTCCTGGGTGGAGAACTTTTGAGTTGTTCATAAATTCAGGTTTCCAGGCACCAGCCTGGCTGGGGAAGCTTTTCAATTATCTTTTAGGAAGTGGGGTGAGGCATCCAAAATAGATTACACAGCATTTGAGACAGCATGATGCAAGATGTTTCTTCTCTATAAAGTCATGGTTGTGAAACATTGCTGGGAGGCCCAGACAAGTGTGTGTGTGTGTGTGTGTGTGTGTGTGTGTGTGTGTGTGTGTGTACAAATAAATAAATGTATGGTATTTATTATCTTTATTGCAATTTAAAATTTGTATCACATTTTATACCAACCAAATGTTTCCAGAATGTTTTATAGAACTTTTCCCAATGAAACAAAAATATTACATACCGTATTTGCCGGCGTATAAGATGACTTTTTTGCCCTGAAAAACATGCCTCCAAGTGGGGGGGTCGTCTTATACGCCGGGTCGTCTTATACGCCGGCAAATAGTAATTGGGAAGCACTGCAGCTGCCCGCGGCAGAGGCACTTTTGCGCACTGTGGAAATGAATCCCGTGAAGCCGAAAGGAGCAGCCAGCCTTCAGGCCGATGTAG